GTAAATATCAAATCTAGTATGGAGGGAACGTCCCCTGCCCGCATCCTTTTAGCTTGTTAAACATGTTGATACAAGAATGTTTCCAGGATGAGGTCTACAAATTTATAGGTCCAAAAATCTTCTGTTTTAGCTTCATATGCTTCCCAGTCTATGGATTTCAAGTTGAAGTCGCCGATTATCAACAGTCGTGATCTATCGTTATCCGCTCTCGCTATGATGTCTCTCATTATTGTTATAAGACCTTCTCATTTACTATCTAGCTCCTCCTTTGACCATGTGCTGCTTGGCGGTGGACTATATGCATTTATGATCATTAGTTTATCATCCTCATGGCAGATCTCTAGTGCGATTATGTCAACTTCTTGTGGATTGGCAGTCACTATTTCGTTCACCTTTAGGTGTTCTTTCACCAGCACAGCAACGCCACCGCCTTTCCTGATTTTTCTGTCCCGTCTCCAAATTGAGTAGCCCTCACATGTACATGTGTATACTGTGTACTCACCTAGTTGTGTGTGTGCACATGTGTATGTGTATATGCACGTGTGTGTAATACACCTTGTGTGTGTGTATTTAGGTGCATGTGTATGTGTATATATGTGTATGTATATGTACATAATATATATGTATGTGTGTGTATATATATATGTATACTTTCTTTCGGAAGGGGCTCTTTTCCCTTCGCTGTTGACGGTGTGCTGGGGAAGCAGCATGCTCTGTTGATTCTCACATGGTCCCGCGGTTAGTGGGCGCTTTTGGTTGTCTTCCAGCCTCTGATGGCAGCGGCGGAGGGCTTTTCTCCTTTTGGGGGGTTCAGGGCTGGCGGGGTGGGCTTCTTCCCCTGCGCTTCGTCATGTCATCTTAGTGGGTGCATTGGACATGGTCGATCCGCCCCATCCTTCTGGGGTTCCCATCTGCTCTATGCAGACACAGGCCTGGCGAATCTGTGGTTCTTCTGAACTACTTCAGTCTGCACCCTGGATTCTATGCTCTCATCGGAGGACTGTTGTCTCTGGTCCAGTTTCTGTTGGGGCCGGGTGCCTGGATGGTGGCCTTGGACCTCCAGGTCAATTCCTGGCACGTTCTACTCCAGTTTTCTGGGACTGGCACAGTTGGTGGTGGGGCTTCAGGCTTGCTGCTTTTGTTGCCTTCCCTAGTTTGTAATTGGCACTTGGTGGTGTATTTACGCATCTTTACCGGATCTTGGAGCCCTGTCTGAGTCTGCTTGGGATTCGGTGTCTGGCCTACTTCGATGACTGGCTGGTGTGTGCTCCCAGTCGGTCTGCTTGTCTGCTCACCAAGTGCGTGTTTCTTTCCAGATTGCCGGGTTTAGTTTCCTGGTGATCTAGAGGCTGTTCCATCTGTTTCCGTCCCGGGTTCGGACCTGGCTGGACCTTGTTTAGAGCTCTTGTGCCGCTCCTTGTCCTTCCCTCCAAAAGTGTTGCTGCGGCTGTGGTCTTCGGCTGTTTATGAGGGGGGGTCCCAGGTTGCTCAGCGGTTGCTCGAGCAGTTGTGCGGCGGTCTGAACTTCGACGTGCTGGTCTGCCCTTTGGGTCGGGTTTGGCTTCGACATGTGTTTGGTTCCTTCGGAGACTTCCCTTCCGCCTCTCTTGCAATTGTTGGGTTTGTTCCTCCGGGAATCTTGTGTTGGTGCTGCGTCACTAGATTCCTCTTTGGGGTTTTCAGGTTCCGTGCCTTGGCACCTGCCCGAGCCTTCGCTCGATGTGTTCACGGACGGGTCGTCTCTTGGCTGGGGCGTTGTGACCAGTGCTCACCAGGTCAGTCGGGGATGGTGGGACCTGTCCGTCCGTGAGGTTCACAGCATGGTTTTGGAGTTCGTGGCTGTCTGGTTTGCGCTTCGGAGGGTTTGGGTCACTCGGTGCTCTACAATTCAGCTCCATTCGGACTGTTCTATGGCGGTTCTTTGCCAGAATCACGGGGTTTCTCTTAGGTATTTGCCTTTAGGGTTGGTCCCTTCGAGTGGCTCGTTTGCTGGATTCTCGGGGTTTGGCTAACCGTGAGGTTAATGTTCGGGGTGTGTCCTACGTCCTGGCGGACAGCCTGTCTCGGTTCATTCCTCTGTTAGCGAATTGGCCAGTCCTCGCCGACTCGTTTTGTTGGCTCTGCCGGACGTATGAACTCCTGGCCATGGATGTCTTCGAGTCGACGTGGTCTAGGTGTCGCCCATTCTATGTGGCGCCCTTACCCACCTTCGGGGCTTTCACGGTGGATGCCTTTCGGCAGGACTGGTCAAGGTGGGGGTACCTGTTCCACTTCTCCCGGTCCAGCTGTTACTTCGGGTTCTGGCTTGGTTGGAGCCCATTCCCAAGAGAGTAGTCCTCATGGTCCTTTGGTGGCCGGTCCAGCTTTATTTTCAGATGATGCTTGATACGTGTCCGAACCCGGGGCATTTTCCTACTGCTCCGCCTCTTTCAGCAGGTTGGACCGGTCCTGTACGTGACTGCTTCGGCCTTCTCGGCTCTTCGCATCTGGTTTTTTGACGAGGGTATCAACATCTTTGTGGTGATCAGGTGGCTTTGTTGATGGTGTCCCACCTACGAGCTTTGTCTCGGCGACAGTATGATGTTGCTGGTGTTTCTATGCACCTGTTTTCTTTCTCTTCATAGGTCGTCTTCTCTTTCGGACCGCGTTGTCTTGTCCTATCTTGGGTTTTCAGGACTACAGTTATTTGATGTTTCTTACTGTCGCCTCGTTTTGTGCAGTGCTGGCGGAGTCGCTCCGGCTTGCGTTCGGGGTGGACGTCACATCTGCCCCGTTCCGTACGCTTTCTCGTGTTGTTTCACCTCCGGCCTGCTCATGCGTCGCTTGAGCCATCCTGGTCTTTGATCAGGGTGCTCTGTTATCTTTTCCTCAGTTTGTGGTAGCCCCTTTGGTTCAGGTTTCTGCTCTTTGGTACTGGTGGTAAGTTTTGTATGTTTGCAGCCTTTCTCTGTCCTTCTGGCTACGGTCGAGATGGCTGCTTACCTGGGGGGAGGGTCCTTGGGTTATTGATGCTTGATTGGTTCGGCCGGGGGTGCGTCCTGTGTTGTCCAGTTGCACTTTTTTGCCATTACCTGTGTACCGTGTCCGGGGATGCGCTTTGGGTTGATCCCGTTCCCCTCGTTCCTTGTTTCAGGGCTTGGGTCTCCCAGGTCGTCCGCAGAGATTTTAGGTCTTCCAGCCTGCGGTCTATCCTTGCGCCTGTGCTATTCGGTTGTTTGCAGCTTTCGCTGCTGTGTTGGTGGCGTCTAGGGCTCATTTCGAGCGTGAGGATTTGAGGGTTGCACAGGTTCCTGGCAGCCCATTCTTTATGCGCGCATCTGCTCCTGTGCGTTCTTGTTTCCTTGGGTCGCAGGTTGCAGCCTGTTGTCTTGGCTTCGCGTTGTGGAGTTTGTGACGGCCGCCTCCTGGGTCAGCCCTTTCTTTTCCTTCTCTTTGGGTATGAAGCTCCAGGGAGCTGTAGGGGCTCCCCACAGAAAACCAGCGTTGAATGTAATGAAACGCCATTTTTCTGGGTGAGCCCCGGAGGCTCCCTGGCAACCCTCCCTCCCACCGGTCGGCAGTTTTTTCGCATTGGTTGAAGCTTAGCTTCCGAACTGATGCTAGGCAGCCGGTGCGGTGAGGTCCAGGGCTCTCTCCTCCCCCTCTCGGGGCGGGGAGGGCTGTGTGGAAGATCGGCGTTGTAGTAAAGTGTGATGTTTGCTTGTTTGCTTGTTTCCTTGGGATTGTAGGGAGTTTCTACCTCTCTGTTCGTTTTTTTCTTTTAGTTTTTTACCATGTGGGTTTGTTTTGTTATGCCTACCTTTCTGGGTGCCTAACCCCGGTCGATGAAAATTAAAATAAGAAGATAAGGAAATAGCCCAACCACAAGGGGGTTTTCCAGGGCCATTGCTCCCTGAAACCTCTCTGAATGGACCAGGTTCTGGCGCTGGTCCCTGGTAGGTCTGAACTCCTTAGCTAATGTCCTGGTCTAACATAACATACATTAGCCTGGTAAGCTCCAGGGAGCCTCTGGGGCTCACCCAGAAAATGGCATTTCATTACATTGAAAGCTGTTTTTATGTGTGTTTTTGACATCCATCCTAATAACTGCCGGTTGGATCTTGGGCGCGAGGGTCTGAGGCGCCTCCATCCCCCTCCCGGAGACGGGGGGGAGCTGCGCTGACAGCGGCCCGGCAATGTGATGACGTCATGCTCATTTGCTAATTTTCGTTGGGGAGTTCTGTCCACTTGTTCGACTTTTGGTATCAATATTTTCACCAGAATAAGGGTTTGTTTTGGGGTACCTATCTTTCTGGGTGCCAGACCCAGTCGATGGCAGACACAGAATACTCCCAACCACACGGGGGTTTCTATAGGTCATTGCTCCTCGTGCCTCTTTGAGGGGGCCAGGTTCTGGCTCATGGTCTCCGGTGGGCAAGAAGGCCATGCACTTTGCCTGATGCCAGAAAACTAATAGTTACATATCAACCTGGATAGCTCCGGGAAGCCTCCGGGTCTCGCCCAGAAAATGGCGTTTCATTACATTCACACTGATTTTTTGGTGGCCCATTCGGTAGCTTCTCATCCCCACCCCTTTCTTCTCCAACAGAAATGGGAGAGCTGGCTCCTAGGATGGTTGGCTGATTGAAATCCTGGCTTGCATAGGATACAATCTGTTGGCAGGCTGGTGTATTTTGGCAGGAATTTGCCTGCAGTAACGATTGTTCACATTACAGTTCTGTATATATATCAGGGTTTTAAATTAGTCCAAAATTTGCTTGTTTTGGGGCTCTGGTTTTCTGGTGATATTTTTCTTGGTTTGTGTGAATGTTGATCCACAGGCTTCCTTCCTACTCCTAGGGAACCAGATTCTGGTCGTGGTCCCTGGTAGGTGTTCATTGGTCTAGAAACCTTGTTCATTCTCCAAGGCTTTGTCATTGCAGGCTTGGGAATAGTCAGTAGATGACCTGAAAGAAGCACTTCATTACATTCAACACTGAATTTTTATTAATTTTTTCTAGGCATATACAGTGTTGCAGTCATCACTGCAATCAACTCTTCAGGCTGGAAAAATTAACTCTTCAACAGCAGACTCTGATGCTTTAAGACAAGCATTCTTGGTAAGCAAAGTTTCACTCTTCTGCTTTACCCAACCACTTAGGCTGGATGGTGGAGTGATGGCCTCGTTTCATACAAGTCCACATTCAATTCCCAAATGTCCAAGTGGCTGGGCACCATTCCTTACCCCTGTCCTATCCCAAATCCTTTTACCTGATCTCTTCCAAGATCAGGTCAAAAGATATAGTCGTAATGGCTTGGCGCGCTCTCCTGATAATTCCTTTCCCTTCCTTTCCCTTCTATGTACTGTACTTTACAATACAATGGAACTCTTTTAATCAAATCCTTGTTTTCTTGATTCTCAAATAAACTGTAAAGTAAAGTAAAGTAAATTTTATTCAGGAAAGTACATACAGTACATAGTTACAAACATAAAGTATAGAGCTATATAGATAGAGCTAGTACATACAATACCTAAAGCCACCAGTACTCATAGCGTTTCGAGCAAACGCTGTTTGTATGTGTAATATGTTCAGCTAATGGGGATTAACCCCATTACCTGTGATGTGATAGCATCTTCAATAGCAGAGGACAATTATTTATACAAAATAACACAAAAATGTTACTAGTTTCCTACATATGCTTTGGCACATTGCTATTAAAACATCATTACAGGTATTTTGGCACATTTGTTGATTACATGTTTTCTTGGGATCTTTGTTTGGAAACATTTTGTTTATTAACCCTTAAACTGCATAACACATCATATGATGTGGTGAGTAACTGCTGTGGAATTGTGCTCCACATCACGTGATGTCTGGGGGTACCACGAAAGAATTAAAAGTCCTGCGACTACACAAGGTTCACATCAGCTTTCTCAGGGCTCTTGTAAACAGACTCTATTTTTTTTTTAAATCGTGGGCAACATGCTCGGGTGTGAGAGCCTCAGTACTGAGTGAGCCAATAAGGCTGGCACACGCAGTATGAGCTAACAGCACTGCTGTTCACCTTTTGACCACAGCATCTCTTAAAAAATATAAATGTAACTGGTATTATTTAGCAATGATAGTATTACAGAAGACCCTTGTGATAAAAATGACTAGAATTCTGATAATAGCAGGATTGTTGTGATAATTTGCACTGTGCATAGTATTGTGAGAGGAGTAATGTCGAGGGAGGGGAGGGTGGTAGCGTCCTCTGTCAAATCTGTGTAATTACCTGAGTGTAGTTACAGGATGAGAGCTATGCTCGTGGTGTCCTGTCTACCCAGCACTCTGTCATATAACGCTTTGAAACTACCAACGGTTTTGGCCTCCACCACCTTCTCACTTAACTTGTTCCAACCGTCTACCACTCTGTTTGCGAAAGTGAATTTTCTTATATTTCTTCGGCATCTTTGTTTATATAGTTTAAATCCATGACCTCTTGTTCTTGAAGTTCCAGGTCTCAGGAAATCTTCCTTATTGATTTTATCAATTCACGTGATTTTATCAATTCCTGTTACTATTTTGTATGTAGTGATCATATCACATCTTTTTCTTCTGTCTTCTAGTTTTGGCATATTTAATGCCTTTAACCTCTCCTCATAGCACTTGCCCTTCAGTTCTGGGATCCACTTAGTAGCATGTCTTTGCACCTTTTCCAGTTTGTTGATGTGCTTCTTAAGATATGGGCACCACACAACTGCTGCATATTCTAGCCTTGGCCTAAGAAATTGTCATGAACAATTTCTTAAGTATTTTGCCATCCATGTATTTAAAAGCAATTCTGAAGTTAGAAAGCATTGCATAGGCTCCTTGCACAACGTTCTTTTTGTGGTCCTCAGGTGATAGTTTTCTATCTAGATCCACCCCTATATCTCTTTCTTTATCAGAAATCTTTAAAGATTTTCAACATAATTTATAGGTTGTTTGGGGTCTATGTTCTCCTATGCCACATTCATAACATGGCATTTATTCATATTAAATTCCATTTGCCAAATGTTGCTCCATATACTTTTTTTGTCCAGATCTTCTTGAAGGGCATGACAATCATCAAAGTTTCTTATCCTTCCTATTATCTTAGCATCATCAGCAAACATGTTCATATAATTCTGTATTCCAACTGGTAGATCATTTATGAAGACAATGAACATCACCGGTGCAAGAACTGAACCCAGTGGTACTCCACTTGTGACATTTCGCCAGTACGATACATTACTACTGATTACTGCTCTCATTTTTCTATCAGAAAATTTTTCATCCATGTTAAAAGCTTACCTGTCACTCCTCCGATATTTTGTGGCCACCTGTTACTGTCTGCACCCACCATACCAGCTTAGTGGTTCGCTATGATGAATACAAATGTAGATACTTATCTATAACGTGTATATAGTTTAATAACAGCAAAAGGAGTAGGTTGGGAGAAGCCATTTTGGTGAGGGAGGTGGCATCATCTGCATGACTTGTCATGCTGTGTAAGGGTGGCCACTATGTTTTTTGGGCAACATACCAGCTTAGTTGTACAGTTATGGTGAACAAAACATGTAGATACTTATATATAATGTGTGTATATAGTGTAATAACTCCACAAACAGTATAGTTGGAGGAGGAATATTAGTGTGTCTGGCCTTGAACCATTGAGGGAGAGAGGGAGGGAGGGAACATCTGCTATGTGTGGCAACCTCTGTCAGTCTCAGCTCACCATACCAGCTGAGTTGTACAGTTATGGTCAACAAAACATGCAGAAACTTATATATAACCTGTGTATATAGTATAATAACTGTAAACTATTTGTTTATTGTTTTATGAACATAATACTTGAATCACTAATATGCTCACAATACTTTTGAGTATAGCGATGGTTCACACATTTTATTATATAAATATATCACATTACACACTATTGAATAACACTACTGCAAAAAAACAGAGAACAAATCAGAGACAAAAAATAATTAGGTAATAATATATTTGTGGTAACTCCCACCTGACAGCTCAGGCGGAGCTGACCGCCTCTGACGATTACTCTGTCAACACCTCACTTTTGTCCGACTTCCTCGCCCCATTGTGGCCAAAATATGTTACCTACGATTTTCTTTTCTGGGAGCTATCCAGGCTGATATGCTAATGTCAGACTTTGACATCAGTCATGTGTATGGAGTTCTCTGGGCCTACCGGGGACCACAAGCCAGAATCTGGCCCCCTCAGAAGAGGCATGAGGAGCAATGGCCTGTAGAAACCCCCGCGTGGTTGGAAGCATTCTAGCATTGTATGTCTGCCTTCGACCGGGTCGGACACCCAGAAAGGTAAGCCCCCCCAAAACAAACCCCCCATTCTGGTGAAAATTGCTACAAAACGCTGAACTAGTAGATAGAACTTTTCAAACATGAATGAGCTTGACGTCACATGTCGCTGCGCCGTTGTCTGCACAGCTTCCCCTTCCCTGGGAGGAGGAAGGGGGAGCCCCAGACCCCGGTGCCGGCTATCCACACCTCAGGAGGCTGATGCTAGAGGCAGTGGTCGTGTGCTCTGGCTCTGTGACTCATACGTCAGGCTGCGAGCGGCTGCGTCCAACAGCCTGGTTGATCAGTCCAGCAACCAGGAGGCCTGGTCGATGACCGGGCCGCGGGGACGCTAAGCCCCGGAAGCACCTCAAGGTAACCTCAAGGTAACCTCAAGGTAACCTCCAGTGATTGTTCCAGCACTGTGCCTTGTGTGTGGTGGCTGTCTTCCAGGGGTGCTCGATCCAGAAGTTATTCTACAGTACTCGGGCTGCATTTGCGTTCCCTTCCCTAGGGACCCTGTAAGTACTGCCCTTGGGGCCACCTTCCACAAGTTCCTTGAGTCCTGCCTCTGTTGGACAGTTTTACTGCTCGGTTTTTTGGCCGCCTTTGGGTGCTTGGGTGTTTTGTCTCCCTTGTTTACCTCAGGGTAAGAGGCAGTTTGCACTGGTAAGGGGCGCAGGGTATTGCGCAGCTTGTTTTCACCATTCAAAGCGGCCGGCTCTGTTCCTCTAGGGTACACTGTCCTCTTGCATGGTTTTATTTTTATTTTCGTTACGTTGCCTGGTGGGGGTCTGCCTTGGTCGTTGCCCCCTTGTACCTGCCCTGTGTGCTGTTTTTTCTCAGGTGGTACCCCTTGCTAGGTCCCTGTGAGTGTACACATCCCGGGGGTTCAGCTTTAGAGGATTTGCTTGGTAGCTTTGGGCATCGGTTAGCAGTACCCTGCCTGGGATTCCCCGAGTGTGAGTTCCGTCTCAGGACCCTGGGAAACCTTCCAGGGGCGCGCGGGTCCAATGGATGTGACCCCAAAGTCCCCCCTCACTCTCTGCGAATTTTGAGGGTTGCTCTGTCCCCTTGTCTCAGGGTGACTCTCACGGTTTTGGCCTCCGTCTTGCTGTCTGTTGGGTCGGTGACACTGTCGACCCCGAATCCTGCAAGTTTTGTTGCTTGCTAGGTGACCCAGTTTACCCAATCTAATGATGATGTTATGTGGGTACAGGCGGCGCAGGCATTGCATGTGCGCTTTAGGTTGTTGCAACGTGCTAGGTTGGTTGCTCACCCGGATGCCCCGAGGCTGCCCTGTTTTGCTTATAGGGACCCGAACTTGGGGGTGATGGTTGCTTCGGCCTTGGTTCAGTCGCGCCCCCTCGTACTTCCTCTGCTGTTGTTTGTTCTGGTCCCCTTCCCCTGTTTCCGGCTTTGAAACGTCTGAGGGTTTTGGAGTCGGGGCAGGGTTTAGATGGTCTTGAGGCTCGAGCAGTCTCGGTGGATGCCCCTTCTAGTGTGGCGACAGAGGCATTCAAGTCTGATCTCCCTGCCGAAGCCTCTGAGTCTGACCTCTGGGCCCTCTTCCTTCCGGCTGTGCCGGCCTTTTCTTTTGAAGCCGGTGTTTTAGGAGATGACTTTGCCCCGGGTCCTGCGGTGGAGGATCCTGGGGATAGGGAGGGGCAAACTTGAGGGTCTTGGGCTCCATTGGACCCCACCTGGGTTTTTCTGCCCTCTGAGTAGGGTTTACTGTTACAAGGAGTGGGGTTTTCTTTTCCCCCCCTGCGCACGAGTTGGATTTAGTATCTGCCCCTC